TACTTCTCACGAATGGAGAAAGAGCTATCAATTTTAAGAAACACCGTCCCACGACTATCATGAACTGGGAACTGTTTGTTCCATATGGCTTTTGGCGAGATATCGTAATTGACAATATCGACTAAGAATACGAAAGGTTCATCCAGCATCTCCCATGGTACTAAAGAAGCTCAAAGCCCAAGAAGTACCAGGAAGCATCTGTCAACAGAAACTCTAGAGTTTATACGCCATTGTGGACGAGCAGAGCCTTAGGTATAACCAACTTAGGTCTGAGCTCGCGAAGAAATGCAGAGTAGCGACAAAAGAAGATTTCAAAGAAAGAGGAGCACAAGCTATGCTTGACGCCCCGGAGGTCTGAAGAATTATACGCACCGCGCAAGCAGCATCGTTAATTTCAAGACCAAGATGACCGAACTCCGCCCCCTGATGGAATTATAACTTTTTCCCGAAGGTTAATGGAGAAAGTCATCTTCGAGTTCTACTAGGATCTCTATGCGAGTCATGTCCACCTACCACCATGCCATCTCAAGAAGGACGCATATATTGCGCCATCAGTTTAGTTTATCCTTCAGAGATTCGATACGCTGTGATGTCAACGAAATGCTAGATTAAACCGGGACATCTGAAGAATTTCCCACCGATTCTTATCAACTCTGGCGAGCTTCTTCACGCGGTACCTGACGGAGAGCACGACTCCAAGTCAACTGAAGAAAACAAGACGGTGTTGCTGTATAAGAAGGGAGATCCCTGCGACATCAGTAATCATCGTCTTATCTGCCTGTTGTCTGTATCCTTCAAACTTTTTACGTGAGTTATTCTCAACAGGAAAAGAGTTAGATGAAGGACAACCGTGCGAGTAAGCTGGGTTTCGAAGAGGATTTAGCACGATAGACCACATACACATGCTAACAAGGCTCATCGAAGTATCGCAAAAGTACAGGATGCCGTTCTGCCTCACCTTCATCGACTTAAAAAAGGCTTTTGTTTCGGTTGAAACTGAGCTTTCATTGATGCCTTGAGCAGTCAAAGTGTTCCAATTTAGTGCAGTAAGATGATAAGTGAGCTGTACAACGACTTCACAACCAAGATCACACCATTTTACAAGGACATCACAATCAACATGAAGAGAGGAGTACCAGAAGGCGATATCATATCGCCCAAACTTTTCAGCGCTGTTCTCGAAAACGTCACGCGTATACTACAGTGGGATGACCTGGGTCTGAAAGTCGGCGGCCGGCAAAAACCCTACCTTCGCTTCGCTGATGACGTATTCCTGATTATACCGTGATCACGCAGATGAATGCTGGAACGAATGCTTGCCCAATTAGACGACGTGTGTGGAAGATTGGTCTAAAGCTAAATCTGATGAAGACGGCATTCATGAGAAACGGATTGGTTCTTGATGCTCTTTTCACGGTGAATGGAATGACGATCGCCGAATGCTCTAGTTGCGTCTATATAGGTCGGGAAGTCAACAAAACAATCTAGTTCCGGAACTGAGCAGGAAGAAATGAGCAGCATGAGATTCAATTTGAGGACGTAGTGAAGAAAACCAAAAACACCCGGCTCCACGCCCATCTCTTCAACACGACGGCTCTGCCTGCTTTCATCTACGCTTAGGAAATGTGGGCCATAAAGCAGGACGAACATCCGGTGAGCGTCATCGAACTCGCTGTTGAGTGAGTGATGTAAGGAGTGTCCCGAGTGTCCCGACTCGCGCAAGTGAAGGAAGAATTACGAAGCTCTACCCTGCGTCAACGATCAAGATCAGGGATGCCGCCTCATGCCAAACAGAATAAAATCAGATGGGCCAGGCACGTAATCGTTTGGTGACAACCGGTGGACATCTGTAACAGATTGAATACCACTGAACGTCAAACGCAAACGAAGAATATCGACGACGCGAAGGTCTCACGAAGCCCTCTCATGAAGTCCTTCAGAGCGTTCCACGCGTTTGACAACAATTGGTGGACTAGAGCTGTAACAGATTGGACACCGCTGGACGTCAAACGCGGAACAGGAGGACCGCTGATTCGATGGTCAAACATGTTCACGACTTTGAAGAAGCCCTTCAGAGCAGTTGCGGACCAAAGTGAGGGGGCCTTCCCCCGCTCCTCCCTCCTCCCTCGGGCTTCTAAAGTCGTGAACATGTTTGGCCAACATGTAGCAAATTTTTTAAAATTTACTTATGTGGATTATGAAATTGTGTTAGTGACTTATTTATCCATGCAAACAATTGAAATAATTTTTAAAATTTTCCAAAAATTCAAATTAGCCCTGTAAATAAATTTTTCGGGGGCATGGCGCCAACCACGCCCCTCCTTGATTTTGGAGGTACAGTGCGGGCCGCAAAAAATTTGAGAAGCCACAAACATTTTTTCGGAGTGGCTCCTCCTGAACAGAAATCCACTGCTTCAAAGCGCTCCTCGTGTACCTGGTGCGATGAGAAGACATTGATCAACGATTGCTCCCGACAAATGGACGAATGGAGACGGCCCTGGATCCCGCTCGTGTCAAGCGACGATCAACGGTGATACAGGTGATACAGGTGATCGACCAGCACCAGTTATGCGACGTACCCCCTGCGGCAACTAGCGACGGTGCGCTATGATAAGTGCGAGCAATCTACGCATTAAAGCATCTCGCCTGCGGTGCGTCATCGCAGGGCATACCAAAGCGGGACTGATGGCTGGTACAGCCCATATGTCTAGAATTAGGTGCCTTTATAGATTTCATTGGTTTTGCAAGCTTGGGTGGTTCAGTGGGATTGGTACAGAGGACTGATTGAACAAATCAAGAAAGTACAATGAACTGAAGAGAGCAGAAGCACAGTTTCCTAGTCGTACGACCCAGTTGATAGATTCTTGTTGTGATTAGGTGGTACGGATGTTGCCGAGGGAAGGCGCAGATAGTGCCGCCAATACGTTTTGTTAACCAAAGCGCATAGGGTTAACCAGAAAGCAGTCTTCGATACTGTAAAGACATGCGTGCGCCGTATTTATCCCCTTAGGAAGAGACATAAATACAGCACAACTAATACTGCTCTTGTCCCTTCGTCAGGCAAAAGCCTTTGAGTATGTAACTCGAACATTCGAAGTACTGCTACAGAATCAGAGAAACTGCAAAAACAAATGCTTTCGCTTAAAAGAACATAAGTCTGAACAAGCAGGAGCGATGGCGGTGGCAGCACTTCATTGATGCAGCAGGGCTCAAGATTGTAAGCTATTTATTGGCAATTGACAATTTATTAGGCTGCTACAAAAATAATATCCGTTTTTCTAGGCCTACTTCCGAACAACTTTTTCCTTCAAAGTTTCTTTTTCGATACAAGTTCTGCACATCATCGGAAAGCTTTCTTCATGTACTTTCTAACGTTGACGAATAAGCTCCTGTGTCATCAGTGAAAATTTCACCAGCATCTCGCATAGCCCTCAAAATCAAAATTTTGTTGGTTCAGCTTCCTTGGCCACAAATCAGGCGCAAATGAGCGATTTCTTTTAAAAACTAGCTACTTTATAGGATACAGATTGTTAAATATTGTTTACCTTATGCATGTTTGAATATACAGAGTGTCCTAAAAATGTGTCGAACGTTTGATCTTTAATAACTTCCCTATATGGAAAGCTTTCGTGAATCTTTGAGTGTCATGCGATAGAGCTGGGTTCAACTTAGATTCACAATATAAAATGAATCATCGGATCCTCTTAGTTACTGTAGGATTACGGTAGATATTTTCGACTAATTTTAAGCTTCTGACGGCGCGAACTGCTTCTAAATCTAAAAAAAATGAAGGACGTTAAACTGAGGTTTTCGGGGTGCTGAATCTCAATACAAGATTTTCCGCCACCGTACTTCTCATCTTCCTACGCATCTCCCTACTTATGCGCACTGTAACGCTAAATTTTTGGCTTTTTTTTTCAAAATTTACTAAATCTACGTTGTCCTTATCAATAAATCAATTAGATTTTGGAAAAAAAGCAAAACAAATTAGCGTTACAGTGCGCATACCGTAAGAAGATGAGAAGTACGGTACCTGTATTGAGATCCAGCACTCCCGAAAACCTCAGTTAAAGGTCTTTTGGGTTTTTTAGAATATCTAGAAGCAGTTCTCGCCCGTCAAAAGCTTAAAATTAGTCGAAAATTCCTACCGTAATCCTACAGTAACTAAGAACAATCCGTGATTCGCTTTATACTGTAAATCTAAGCTGAATCCAGCGTTACCGTATGACACTCAAAGATCCGCGAAAGCTTTCCATATAGGGAAGTTATCAAAGATCAAACTTTCGATATATTTTTTGGGACACTCTGTATTTTTGGAATATATCTGGACTGAGAAATCGACCCCTTGCATATATACTAGCTGCATGGAACTTTATGAGTTAATCTTCCTGGTCAAGGCAATCGGCAAAGCTTCGCTCATCTCTGTATGTTTGAGGTCAGGACATCTTACCTACAATTTTTGCCGAAAAACGTAGCTACAGTGAATGAAGAATTCCAAACTTTCTTAGTTTGGGTTTGGGACCTTCTGCCTATTACAAATAGGCTTGAAAAAGTAAACAATTTTCAATTTCTATCTTTCCTTTTCACAGGTTCCTCACAACCAAGTACTAGTGGCTTGCGTCTAAGAAATAAGCTTATTATCAGACACAGGAACAAAACTTGAAGGGAGTTGTAATTTCTCAAAGACGTGCTTTTCAAAAGGCAAACTCTTGGTTTTTAAAGCATAATTTATTCCCGTTTGGTTATCGGTATATGCAGGTGCGCATTATTTACGAATGGTTTACCGCTTCTGATGGTCTTTACTGCATTCAAAAATTATAAAGACTGAACAAAGTTATAGCCTTTCAAAGTAAAACTTTGCAAAACGGACATTATTTTTGCAACAACTTAATATTTTTTTCTATGATCACGAAACACTACTTATTGAAAAATGCATAATTACGTGCTGCTAATCAAAACTGTGAAATACTGTTTGAATCTTATACGAACAAATTTGAAACCTCTTTTGTATTGTTTGTCCAGTTCCGCTTTTCGTTAACCATTTGTATGAAAGCATTTCGCAAATTATCGGAAATATCCGTGAGAACTCTGTTCGCTTGCTGAAATGAAGAAATTACGAAAAAGCATGCATGGTTCATAGTCCAACAGGGGCAACTTTTTTCAGTCTGTCATGCGGAGTCTGCTATAATCATAATTTAACATTACAATTCACATAATCACTGCAATTTTTTACCTCCTTACCAAAAACATTGTAGAGATAGAGACATTGGCATTCTGAATTGATATCTTGCTATTAACCGTCAGCTAAAGCTCAAATACAAAAAGTTTTGGCAGGCGGTACCTTTTGTTCACGCGTGTCACGTTACATTCTAATTCGGTAGGGTTCGTGGTTACACAATAGTCAGTAAAAGAGACTCTTAACGCATTTACGCACTGATCCTCCTTCTCAGGCTAGGTATATCTATCAGTCTGTTCCAGGACAGTTCAGCACGGTGTTCGAACTGTGGCGAAATTGCGCTGTATGCGCTGCAACCACCCGCATGCTTTATTGAGCGGCTGGGGTTATAGCGTTTTTATACTTGAGTTATCCCGTCAATCAAGTCACAAATGCGTAGAATTTCGCGCACCAATATATAGGCTGTACCAACCAGCATCGGTTATGCGACGTCGCGCTTGCGACGGCTCGCGATGATGCGAGTGACGCGTGCGAACTCTGTTCCGCCGAAAGCAAGTCGCATGCGACCGTGCGTCTTCGCAAGGCATACCAGCGCGGAACCGATGCAAATTGGTACGGCCTATAAATTGCGATGTAACTGATAAGCGCTCAAGAAGTGGGACCGCTATTTACATCTTCCGCATCGAAGTCACGATTTTATATGTTTGATTTAGCCCAATCTCACGAGTACAAAACGCATCTTTTTTGATTCTTTCAGCGAGTCGCTCAGCCGCCGCGTTGTATTTCCGAAAACGTAACTTATGCCGCACGATACTCTTAGGCAACACTTAGTACTGTACAGGCGCCTTTCGTCGCGAAATGTTTAGTGAGTCCAGGCTAGTCGACTCCAGAAAAAACAGGTGCGTCCTTTACTCGTGAAATCAAGGTACGTGCTCTTTTAGAGTTGGGCTTACTACCAAAATGCTATAGCTGTTTAGTTATTTATTCTGCATGCCATTTAGATGCAAAATAAAATGTGCACTTTATGCTTTGCATATCAGCTGCGTTACTTACATGTGCATTGACGAATCGAGCATGGGCTGCATGCAATGCTTGATTGAAGTGTCCTTTGACCCAGCTGAAACACTGTTCAGTCCTTCGTTGCTTCTAAAAAGAAAAGAAGCTATTTCAGTTTTCAGGCTCCAAAATTCAAGATCGTGGTTCCGATTAACTCCAATGATAATTGGATCGCAAACGTCAAAGCCTTTTCGGGTAAAAACTTCTTTTTGTGCTTTCATGATGTAAGTTAGATGTATAAAGTCATGTTTTGGCTGATATTTGTTATCTGATACCAGTGGACGTCCTCTGCTTCGCCGAAGCTCTCACTTGCTTCAATACTTGTATGCCTTCCTCGAACTCTAATGTTGGTAAGTTTAGAACCATATGCAATGTTGGCCATCAGGAATGAATTGTAAACAGCTACTCATTCCATGCTCTCTTAAAATGTAAGATCGATAACTTTGGGAACAAATGTTTTTTTTACAGAAGAACACATGCAAATGTGAATCAGTTCTGAACTTTTTGTAGCATGATAGTCGTACGGAAAATGACCGGACGTGAATTATATCTCAGAGCAAAATTTTCAAATTCGTACCTGAAACCTTAACGAATAGGCAATCGCGTAATGGGTCTTTTTGGCACTAAGTTCGCATAAAAACGAAATTTTTGCACCCTCTTAGCTAAGACCATGTTGCACATTTACTTATTGAAAAAAATCCGTAACTTTAAAAATGGCGTTACGAATTCAGTTTTAGGAGGTAAAGGTCATGCGGATCCGCTTGATCCGCTTGGCGCACAATTTATGGGGACACACACACACACACACACACACACACACACACACACACACACACACACACACACACACACACACACACACACACACACACACACACACACACACACACACACACACACACACACACACACACACACACACACACACACACACACACACACACACACACACACACACACACACACACACACACACACACACACACACACACACACACACACACACACACACACACACACACACACACACACACACACACACACACACACACACACACACACACACACACACACACACACACACACACACACACACACACACACACACACACACACACACACACACACACACACACACACACAGGAGTACTATATTTCAATCATTATGAGGCCCATTCACGAAGTTGCGGTTAGTACATAGATGTACGGAGATGGACTGTAGGTAATTGCGTATTGTGATTACTCTTCCAGTTCCTGAAGGCGGCTTCCCGCAAAAGATTGATGCAAAAAATTATGGCAGGCCCGGGCCAATCCGTCTTGCTGACTCTAAGGTTGTTTCTTGGAGAGCGTGAAAATGTTGAAAATTGTCTTGTTGTAAAGCTCTTGACTTTGATTTTGGACGCGTGGAGTAGAGTCTTACTCCCTACCTTCCACTCCTCCCCCCGGACCTTGCAGTATCTTCTCCCGTTCTGCCATTACGCTGCCTTTAAGACTGTCCATACTGCCTCTCTTAATTTACGCGCTTAAAGGCAGTGTCCGGGCAAAAACTCGATTTTGAGATTTTGTGCTTACCCGGGCCTATTCGCTACGCTGAATCCGAAAATGCCATTGGAGAGCGCTAAAACTGCAAAAAAAAGGCCCTAACACAGGAGCGAAATCAGCAATTGGGCGGGGTCCTCCCCGCTGCGAATTCACGCTCCCAGCTTCCGGAGCGATCTCTTCGCTTCCGGTTTCAAGTCAATCATTCGCACTTGACAGGTAGCGATGTTAGGACGGCTAGCGGAATCGAGAAGACCGATTTTTTTGTATTTTTCAGTTTTGCATTGCCTCAATTAAGCTTCTTTTTGAAAGCTATTAAGCTTCTTCTTGAGAATTAGATTTCCTCGAGGTAAATGCATGTACTTAATCGTTGAAAATTCAACGTGGATTCATTTTTATACGGGTGTTTCCTATATTTATTCCAAGAGGTGCCTATAAAAATGATAATGAACGGAAAATGAATGCATGTTAACATGTTACAATGTTGGTGTTCCTATCGTATGTGCCTGGCGCGGCCAAATTTGGCGAGAGAATCCTTCATAACTTCTTTCAGAGAAACGCTCAGCAGAAACGGGAACCAGATTTGGAATCAGCGTTCAAAGGCGAGTGTATTGGTATACATTTCATCTCAAAAAGCCACGGACACTAAGTATCGTTCCCTTGTAAGCAAAAAGTCGATTTTGAGATTTTGACTTAACCGGGCCTATTCGCCATGCTGAATCCGATAAACCACAATGGAGAGCGAAGCGCGAAAACTCCAAAAAAGCCCTAACGCAGGAGGAGAATCGCAGGTGGGCGGGGCCGTTCACATCCTGACGTTACTCTTCCAGGCCTTAGAAGCGATCTTCTCGGTTTCGATTTTATGCCATGCGCTTCGCAGTTGGCTGGTGATGTTGAAGCGACCAGCGGAAGCAAGAATATTTTTCCTGAAGCTGGGAGAGTAACGCCACTATGTGAACAGCCCCGCCCACCTGCAATTCCCCTCCTCCGTTAGAGCCTTTTTTCGCCGTTTTCGCGCTCTTCAGTGTTGATTTTTGAATATAGCATAGCGAATAGGTCCAGGTAAGCACAAGACCTCGAAATTGACTTTTTGCTTGGACTCTGCCTTTAAGTGACAGCAACTGGTTGTCGAAAATTGCCAATTGCCAGACATTTTAGAAAATGGAAACCGCACAAGAGTTTGATTACGCAGTTAATTAAACCTTTTTGTTGCGTGGAAAAGTTTGGTATGTGCCATTTTGATGCATACCCATGCCTACACTTCAAGTCATCGAAGAGCGTTTGGAAAATAAGCTACAGTGTTTGATAATGATATAGTTCAAACATGTCGTGGACTATACTTTGGACCGAATCGAATGAATATTCGAGTATTCGAATAAGTGTTCGAATAAATTTTAGTCGAAATTCGATTATTCGAAAATTTAAAAATCTCAAATTTATTCGATATTCGCTTATTCGAAATTTGTCAATTTCGAATTTATTCGATTATTCGGTTATTCGAAAATTTTGTTTTTCGAATATATTCGAACATTCGAATATTTAATTTCGGAAGTTATTCGATTGTTCGACATTTTCGTGTAATCGAATAACTAATTCTACTTGCTGGTGTCCTCTTGTGTCTTTCCCCCTTCCAATTGTGTTTTCTCGCATTTACACGCCATTCCAAAGTGCAAGTTGGTCTCGCCACGACCACCCTGTTTCCGCGTGAATGGGACTGTAGGTTGAATGTGATTGTGAAATCTGTGCTGTCGCCAACTCCCTATGTCTGTGATTAGCTGGAGTTCTCCAGGTCTTCGACCGTTTGCAACGGTTTTCTCTTTAATTTTCATTTTGGTCTTAGTCCTCTATCCCTCTTCCCCTGACAGCAAGAGTTTTTAAGAGCGGTTTGGAGGAAGAACGCAATATGCGACCATTCCGTGCGATCGGTTTGATGGTAGTTTGTGAGCTCGTCCATTCTGTGATCATTATTTTCGCCCACAAATCAAATGTTCCCTATATTCTCTGCGCATTTTCACAACCCCAGTCCTTCGGAAGGCATGATGACACTTGTCAAGAAGCGGAGATTGAGATTTTTTACTGAGGAGTTCTGTTTTAAGGGCGTTTTCAGCTTTTTTCCTTTCTCCACTAAAGCTTAGCCGTTCTTTCTCCAACCCGCTCACCCCACGACGTGGACTAAACGAGGACATAGTGGATTATGTTGTCGCACGTAAGATAACGCTATCCCCACCTTTCAGGTTGTCCGGTTATTGCGATCTCTCGCAGCCTTTGAGACATGAGAACGATCTAACAGCAGAGAATGAGAAATTAAAGATGCTGTCATTTAAGCGGAATCTATCTCAGAACATCAGTTACATGCAGAGGCCGTACTAAGCTGTAAGAGATCAGCGACAGTTTAATACTGAGATGTTTTGTTTGTTTTGCAGTTATTAACGTCAAGTGCGCAATTATATCATACATTCTCTTTGCGATTGCCTCATTAGATAAAGTCAAGGTAGTTGATTTTATTTCAGCGCATATTTTGATGTTAATCATAGTTCAAGTTAAGGCATTGTCGTCATATGCCTTATCTCAAATTACGTTGATATCTTGATATCTTTGTTTTGTTAATTTTATCAGCAAAAGTTCATACGCAAGTTCGATGTATACGACCGTGTGGCAGACTAATGGTCGGAACACTGTCGCCCGTCACAGTTCGATTCAAGAGTTGACGAGACTTTGTAACTCCTAACTCTAGACACAATCACGCTTTTGGCAGCACTTTATTGTGATTCCTTGTGGTCTCATGGAATTATGGCATGCACAACTCAACTTCGAGAAAAACACATGTTAGTAGGGATCTTTTTGCACTTGAATCATATGATGTCGTGCTTTGACAGTTGTTGACAGTTCCAATATCAGGAAGTCAATAGTGGTAATGGACAGCAATGGACATAACAAAACCTACCCTTTTCAACTGGATTGACGGCTGGAAGGCGGGGCTTCCAGGTTTGATCAAGGCTAGAGGTTGTTCATAGAGCACGCTCGCGACAGAGACGCAGACTGCTGCGCGGGTGCGTGAGGTCGCCTTCTAGCCGCCAGTCCAGTGAATCAAAGGGTAACTTACTGGCCAACATACACATATTGTTGCTGCAGACAGGTTTCATAGCTTTCTTTGCCAGACAGGTTTGATATAAATGTTTTATTCGGCCTAACGTTTCGGCACTAATGCCTTTCTCAGAGGCCTGAAAGTCAGTCATTTACGCACTTTACACGGCCACTTTCCTCTAGACTCGACTATTCAATTCATTTTAAGTGGACATCAACGAGTATCTAACTCACTAACAACTCACCAGGGGTCACGCTGATAATGTGCTTCGAGGGTAGTGCCTAGCTTCACTCAGTGATGACATGAGAATAAACGAGGTCCTTATTAAGGATCTGTTTATAAAGTGGGTGTTATAGCTGGCAGTATGACAGGAACGGCATGAGATCACTTGTGATAGAGAGTTGTTCAATTTTGCCATTCACTTTGGGCTCCCTGGATAGAATGAATGACGCCTCCAAGGCTTTACGAGCAGAAATTTTTGTCTCTAAAGCTAATAAAATGCACTTAACATTGAAATCATTGCCGCCATGATCAACTTTTTTATGTTCTCCCAGCGAGACCGCTAGGTTTTCCTGTTTTTTTACTTGCCAAGTGCTCGTTTAAGCGTATGAGGAGTGGTCGCCCGGTCTCGCCAATATATGTAGCATGGCAGTCTAGGCATTCTAATTCGTAGACTACTCCAGATCTTGCGCAATCCTCCGGCTTTCCGTAAGGGCAAATGACGCAGCATAGAGAAGTGCAAGCTATGTCGTACACTCTGTTACGCACAAGTTGCTTTTTGATGTTGTTCCGTGGTATATTAATGAGAACGACATCACATTCTAGCTGGGCTTGCACCAAACAATTTTGTATCGCGTGTGTTACCCTGTCTGAGATAAATGGTAAGCTGAAAGGAATCAAGCCAGATCTGTCATTTGGTCTTGCGGTTGTTCTTCGAATGCGTGTAGACTTTGTCATATAGTAGCCGTTGCTATTTCGGACGCCAGCATTCGAGATTTCTGTCGCTCACTCTCGCCACTACAGATGTTAGTTGCCATTTGGAACATATTACGCAAAACAGCACGTTTAACGGCAATCGGGTGAGCGGACTTGGCGTGTAGAAGGATGTTCTTACAGCTTGTTTTGCGATACCATTTTATGTTATTTTATTTTTATTTTTATTTTATTTTATTTATTTTATTTCAATTTTTTTATTTTATATTACCATTTTTAAATAACGGGAAAACGTAGCGGCCCCGCTGGGAAAACATAAAGAAGTTGATCATGGCGGCAATGATTTCAATGTTAAGTGCGTTGTATTAGACAAAAATTTCTGCTCGTAAAGCCTTGGAGGCGTCATTCATTCTATCCAGGGAGCCCAAAGTGAATGGCAAAAATGAACAACTCTCCATCACAAGTGATCTCATGCCGTTCCTGTCATATTGCCAGCTATAACACCTACTATATAAACAGATCCTTAATAAGGAACTCGTTTATACTCTTGTCATCACTGGGAAGCTAGGCACTACTTGCACATTATCAGCGTGACCCCTGGTGAGTTGTTAGTGGGTTGGATACTCGTTGATGTCCACTTAAAATGAATTAAATAGTCGAGTCTAGAGGAGAGGTTTGGCCGTGTAAAGTGCAAGATTAAGGTAAATGACTGACTTTCAGGCTCTGAGGAAGGCATTAGTGCCAAAACCTTAGACCGAATAAAACATTTATATTAAACCTGTCTGGCAAAGAAAGCTACTGAATATACGACATAACGCCCAGGTTTTACGAACAGAGAACGTACGAGATTTTATAGCTCACTACTTGCAGTGACTCAGGCATAAAGCATAGAGCAAAACTGACAAAACTCACTCCTTCAGCTCTAGCTGCGAGAGCTGCAAATCGTTTATCCATCCAATCCAACCAAGATTTGATGTAACCTGTCATAACAAGATTGGAAAAAACTGTCTTTGAAGCATCTCTGAGCACGGCATCAAGCCTTAAATGCTTTTGTTTTTCTCAGTGTGATTCTCAAATTCGTGCTTACTTTATCAGATTCTCGGTGGGTGGAGCTTTAACCATAAAAGTATCATCTTGAAAAAGACGGTGAACTCCGACTGGAGACACTTGTGATAGAAACTCGAGCCAGTCAATCTCAATGAAAGCTATGAAGTTTATCATCTTTGCAGGACTGGAAACTATAATGTTTAAGTAGAAGTTCTGTCACAAAAACGCTATGATAACTTCAAAACATACGCAGCTTGTTCCGCACGTGAACAGTTTCTAGTGCATAAGCTTGCTCAAAATGTTTGAGAAACGTTAGTTTACTTTTGTTGAACAACCAATATTCATTTGAAAAAAGAATGGCATGATGCTGTATGCTACCGCCATGACCCTTTCTGATATCCATCCCGCCTGGGCCAATTAAGCTTTCTACTTTCCGACGATTATTCGATATTGATTTAATTTGGGAGGATCAAAGCACTGTAACCTGTCCCAAGCTCACCGTAAAGGTTGACAAGCATTCAACAGTCTTGCGTGGCGCATGCCTGCAGAGGATATTGGGGACAGAAGTGCTTTTATCTTTAAACAATATTTGTAGTGAAAAGCACAGCACGCAACTGCACAAGCATTTAGTTGTTGTTCAAGAATGTTGATCTTGGAAGAAAAAAATTGATTAGTTTGCCAGAAACCAGCTCATAATAATGCATGCTTTCATCAAGAAGCTAATTAGAAGCTTCACATAGTCCTTTCAAAAAATCGATAAACAATCGCTAACAATTTATGACGGGCAATATGAATTTACATCAAATAAATAATGTTATCAACGGACATCGAACATCAGTTACCACGATTGATCGCCTTAATTGCACTTCGCTATATTTGCAGTTTGTGTGCAGCTTATTTTCATAAGCTTGTCTAGAGGTTCGGCCCATAGTTTACTGGAGCTATTTACCGATGTTATTGTTGCCAATGTACTTAGAAGCACTACTCAGATAATCGCTGGGGGCAGGCGGTCGGCAAACTCGCGCTTTTCTGCAAGCGGTCAGCAAAATTTTGGGCGTGGCCAAACCTTCAGCGAACGATACTTTCGCGTTCTGCCAGAGGGCAGCAATACAAAATTTTCTGCAAACGCTCGTCGAACAATTTCTTCCAGCGAGCGCGAGCCAAACTTTCAGCAGGCGCTCGGACTCTTTTTACGCAGTTTCAGGCGTACGCCGAGCAAAGGTGGGACTCTGTGTGGCAGAGGTGTTATCGATGGTTTGATTGCCCGAATTTGGGGTACCTTCTCTTAGTGGAAGATACCCGCGGGTCGTGCGGTCTTCCACAAAGGACCGTTCGGCCCCCAATAATTTTGCATGTTCCCGCGGAAAGTCCGCGAAAATGCGGCCACTGCGCCGCAACTAAGCTATAGGAAAACCGCGATTGTTTTCCGAGCATTTGTCTCAAAATTGGCCAACATCCTTCCAAATATTTCTGCAAGCGGATCGAACAAAGAAATAACATCAGCAAACTATTTTTTTCGGTGCCCGCTTGCCCAAAAATCGCATGGCCGCCTGCCCGGCGATTATCTGAGTAGTTTACTGCAAGAACTAGTGCTTCAAACAATCAGCAACATTGAGCAATTTGGTTTTACCATAGCAATATCCAACCGTCGTCATCTCCCAGGTGTACTTTGGGCGGAGCATTTGCAGACATTTGAACACGTTGGTGAATTGCCAACCCTCTACTGCAAAGCGTGGTTCTTATACTTTTTAACTGCCTTCTACACATGCAATTGTTGGCATTTTTGGTAGCGAAAGATTGCAAAAACAATGACTTGCATTAGAGGAACAACAAGTTCACCAACCTGTTCAGATGTCTGCAAATGCTCCACCAACTACACCGGAGAGGCGACGATAACAACCCACAGCATCGTTAGCCACCCCACTGCGCAGAAGGCTGAAACTAAATACTCAGCAATCTCAACGACCACAAACACTAAAGGAAAGTCAGCAGCTCGGACAATTGCATCGGAGAGTTCGCAGCCCTAATTATATGGCTAGCCGCGGCCCGTAAAGGCACCTTAACCCAGATCCTCGACTACGTCTTAATCGTTGCAAGACCTTCATGTTCCTGATTCCAATATGAAGTCGAGAATCCGCGAAAACCCCAACAATCCTTATTCCGGAGAACCCGCAGGCCAGCTTTCCGGAACGATGATTGGCTGAGCGCGCACGGATGGGCGGGCATGGATGGGGAGGGCGGTGCGGTTAGTGCATCTTCTTTAATCAGGAGCAATTTTCTCGCTTCCAAAACGAGATTTTCGCCGCGACTTGGGAAGTAACATGCTATTGTGTACCTATTGTTTTTTTTCCCAAAAGTAGGCTAAAAGGCCGGACAAAGAAGAATGCAGACAGGTGTTTCTTGTAGACGGGGACAACAACGTGATCAGTTCTACAACTCCTGCGCGGCTGCAAATGGTCTGGGAGTGCTGACAGGCATAACAAATCTATAATTATCTGTATTTGGATTTCAGTGTGTTAGAGATTCATGCAGTTTTATTTTGGTTGTTACGCTCAAAAACCTTGATATAAATAAATAAAATCTGATATGAATGTCTTTTCTGGCCTTCTGTGTTTGCTTAAAAAAAGTATCTGCGATTGTGGGGCTGCAGATGGGCTTAGATTTGACTAGATGTTTCTGCCGTGTCAGCAGCTCAGGCCAGCCGCAGAGACATGCGGGCCATATCTAGAGTTTTTGAGTGATCAAATTATCAGACGCCATCACATGTAGGCCCGTAGTAAGGCTCGGTCACTGGAGATGATCTCCCCTGAGGCCCTCATATGAGGCTTTATCGGGTGAGATGAGGACTGCCCACTTTTCCGTGGTGCAACATACTTAGGTCACCCTACACTCAGACAATCGCTGGGGGCAGGCGATCCGCAAACTTGCGCTTTTCTGCAGGCGGTCAGCAGAAATTTGGGGCGTGGCCAAACCTCCAGCGGGCGGCACTTCCTTTGCTGTCGCATATTCTGCCAGCGGGCAGCAATACAGCATTTTCTGCAAGCGATCGGCAAATAACTTCTTTCAGCGAGCGTTGACCAAATTTTCAGCGAGCGCTCGAACTCTTTTAATGCAGTTTTCGGAGTACGCCGAGCAAAGGTAAGACTCTATATGGCAGAGGTGTCATCGTTGGTCTAATTACTCAAGTTTGGGGTACTTTCCCTCAGCGGAAAGTGCCTATGAGCTGGGCGGTCCTTACAAAGGACCGTGCGGCCTCAATAATTTTGCATGTTCTCGCGGAAAGTCCGCGAGAATGCGGCCACGGCGCCGCAACTAATTTGTAAAAAAGCCCCAATCGTTTTCCTAGTATTACTCTAAAATTTGGTCAATATTTCTCCAAATTTCTGCAAGCGGACCGCAAGAAATCAGCGAACTATTTTTCCGGTGCCCGCTTGCGCAAAAACCGCATGGCCGCCTGCCCCCGGTGATCATCTGAGCAGATGAGCTTCAGATGAAGCCCGGCAGGGAGATAAGCTCCCAGCCGAGTCATCGGAGATGAGCCGGACGACGACATAAGGTAAATACTGTGCTAAAGAGGAGAGCACGGAGAAAACATCTGTAAGTTGCTCCCGAGTAACTTACGAGACACCACAGTCGACGTTCTTTTGCAGTGCAAAACTCCCAAAACCGCACAAATTCAGGGGCCTAAGTGAGTGAGGATCGACGAACAGCTGATTGCGTGACGAAATCGGAAAGTAGTTTTCTTTGCATTTTTCTTGCAGTTGTTGCACGTTTTTTTCCAAAAAAAACGCTTCAGATAATAAAAAGATAAATTTACCTTTCTAGCCATTTTTCGCCAAGTGTGATTTTTCCTCGTATGAAGGCCAAAATATTGCGTATTTGTTTTATCTCGTTGTTTTGCCTGGTAAAATCTCTGCTAGCGGTTATAATCAATTTTTTCGACAGCGGCCGCTATCAAAGATTGCCAGGCCAAGTAGCAAAAACGATGCAGCTAGCCGCACTCGAACCACGGCTCTGCCGCTGCTTGAAACGCTTTAGTCTTATCCATTTGACTAATAATGCACGAATGACAAAAACGTTCCACCTTTGAAAACGCGAACGTACAGTAAGTGATCCGCTCTAAATCAATCGCAGTGTGCTGAGGAGCGATGAGATAAGTCCGGTCCGCCTCAAGAGAGATGCCCTGGTGGGGGTTTACTACGGGCTATAGTGATCGGGTCCAGGGCCCGACGGGTGGCGATTTCACCGGCTGGATATCGTTTTCGCCCCGGAAAAGCAAAGGCGAAGTCGTATTTGGAAAACCCAAGGAGGTGCTTCAGAAATTTTTATGTAAATGTAAAAGAAAAATGCATGCAACAATGCCGCAAGACAAGTGGAAAAAGTTTTAAGATCTGCTGGACCAACCCTTTAAATTTGTTGCAAAAAAGGTTGAAGTCTGTAATTTAGATCTACAGCAAGCAAGTCGAATCTGTAGCGTTTTCCAGTTTTGGAAAAGACATTTTCCTCCCGAACCCGAATATCATAAAGAATCAAGACAGGCAAAAAAGTCCTTATCACTACTTGAGGAGGTTCACGAGTTTCAAGAAGGTCGCCTTTCGGAATGTAGGCTTTGCTTCATTTTGGATGAATGCTGCTTCTGGAAAGTTAGAATAAGCACTTCGAGTACATCTCTGTTTTTCTCAAGTTTCTCAACTGCTAGATTTGTCTATTCAAATATGTGGAACCAAAAACTCAAAAAACTTTCAGAGTGACCAAGCTCAAAGTTTATATTCCTAGCTGTAGGAATATTTTCTCAAGAGTAGGGGCAAAATTTTTCAGAGAAGAGACAATGTGTCAGCCATAAGTAGAGTAGCAAGGCAAAAAAATTCTTGCTATTCTACTTACTTTTATGGTGAAAAATTCTTTACAAGCCTAGTTGAATTATTGAACAAGATATTATAATCTTGATAAATTTGAACATGCTGCTTGCATATTTCACACGTTTAATTGTCCATGTAGACCCCGTACAAAATCTTACCACATATTTTGTTAGAAGAGTGAAGGCTTCCATCTCTCTCTCTGTCATCTCTGCGTCCACTATTGAATATATGTGATCGTCGATATTGTGATTATAACATTTCATTAGAACAAACACAGATATGCAGGTA